CATCCCCAAAGGGCTGGCGGCAGGGAGGGTTTCTATCCAGCAGCAGGAGGATGTTGGAGAACTCCCAGGAATCTCAAAGGTCGGGGAAGAGGAGGGAAGGGGAGGTGCACAGGCGGCTGCCACTGCCTTCCTGCTTTTCCTGCCTGCTCTGGCTGAGCTTGCTGGGGGTGCAGCCCTGTCTTGTTCTGCGTCTTGGTGTAAATCCCTGGCCCTGGAAGGACTCGGTGGAACAGGACATTTGCCCTGCCAAGGATGCACTTGGACAGCAATTCCAGGAGCGTGTGCTGCAGCTTTCCTCCGGACCTACATCTTCTGGCTCTCCCACAGGGCACCGATGGCCATGTCACTACTAATAAATACAGTAGGCCAGGGCTTGTTTTCCTGGCAAGCAGCTGGGATTGTGTTTGTACAGCCGAACCCCTTCTCACCCCAAAACAGGGTGACCCGGTCCATGTTGCTTCATAGCCTAAACGGCCAGGGTGGGTTTGCCTTCAAAGGGCTCCTTGGCTCCCCTGGATGCAGGGTGTGAGAAACCAGTCCATAAGTCCAGATAGTTACCCTTGGGTACCTGAACCAGAAGATCCCAAGCTCAACAGTAATTAAATGCTCGTTAAAGCTGGAGGCAGCCTGTGCTGTTGGTGTGAGCCCAGTGCAAGCTCCTTGCCCTGGCTCTCCTGGGAAGCAGGAGGCCAGAGCGCTCTCTGCTCTGTGACGGTCACGGGCAAAGCTTGAGAAGCTTAGGTGGGAGCTGATGAGGGTGGTCTGGGACGGCTCACGCATCTGTCATGTACCGAAGAGGGTGTTACAGTACTGGAGAGCAAGAGCCCAGCTGATGTACCATCCCAAATGCTGTGGATGCCCCATCCCTGGAAGTGTCCAAGGCCAGGCTGGATGAGGCTTGGAGCAACCTGGTCTAGTGGAAGGTGTCCCTGCCCATGGCAGGGGGGGGGGCTGCATGAGCTTTAAAGTCCCTTCCAACCCAAATTGTTCTGTGATTTGTTTGAAGTGCCTGAGGTAGCTGCAGGCCATCCTTTCTTTTCTTTCTTATTTTTTTTCCAGCATGGCTGAGCACATGGAGCCCTAATGACAGTGATAACGCTACGGTTTTTATGCTTCTGTGGCGTAGGTATATGCGAACGCTTTCCTCTCTGTGCTCCTGGCACATCTCCAGCGCAGCCAGTGCTACCTGGCCGTGGCTTGGTGTGGTCGTTCTAGACTATTTGGAATCATCTTTGTTTTTTGCTACTTGGATTGCTGAGTGCAGCTTCCATCCAGGTTTTCTTTGGTGCCAGAAGGGATGAAATCTATATAGGCATTTTTAAAAGCTGCTTCTGTGGAAACCTTCTGCAAGCCTGTTTCTGGGAAGCGTCCAGCTGAGTTTTGCAGGCTCCGAATAAGGAGGCATTTCAACCACTTTAAAATCTAGCTCTTCTACACCTCCTACTCTGCCAGGTACATCGGATTTTGTGGGACTTCTGCTGCTTTGCATCGCTGAGCTCTATTTTAGCAAATTGGCAAAATTCCTGAATTTCAACAAGCTTGTTTAAAGCAATGTTTTTGCCTCCTCTGCAGGCCACATGCACAGTCGGACTGGTGTGAAAATTGAGGCATTCGGCCAGTTATTTGTGTAGAGCGCCTGGTGTAATTTTGAGCTCGTTCAATTAAATTATTCCTCAGATAACCCTGATCCTGCTGCGGCGAGTTTTTAAAAGCGTTGGGTCGTTTATAATGATGCCGTCTTTCCTTTCTTTTTCTTCTTTTTTCCCCTTTCATGATGCGGGAAGCGGCACAGCCACGGCTCTCCGAGCTGTAAAGGGGAGCAGGGTTTGCGAGCGAGCTGACCCTGCCTGCGGGGATGTGCGCGGCAGGCAGCCAGCGGGCTCAGAGATGCTCAGGCTTTGGCCACCCAAAGAGCGCGGCCCGCTCTTTGCAAAGTCACGGCACTCGGCGCAAAGTGAATTATCGGTGAGCTAATGGTTTGACATGATTACCCGAGATGGACAAGATTCCGTTGTATTAGACCTGGGAGGAATGAAAGGGATGTTTCTCCCAGCACTACCACTGCCACTTGACTTCATAATAAAATAGTGGCTCATCCTGCATCGCTACTGCCATGCTACCTGCTGGATTGCACAAAACAGGTCAGGATCTCATCCTGCAGT